AGGAGGAAGAAGAAGGGAACCGAGAAGAAGGGAGAGACCGGCGAGAGGAGAGGAAAAATCTTGTTGTCTTGGACGAGGAAGAGGAAGAGAGTGGGGGTTGCAACCTTGCAGTGGGAGTAAAGGGGTGAGAAGTCGGTTTTTCGGTGAACCGAGTGTATCTCGGTTACTTCACTCGCCGTTTTCGGTTAGAATTATAACCCAAATCTGCCAACCGACACCGCCAGACTGTTTTTCTGTTTTCGGTTTGGTCTTTAACCGACAGTTCGGCTCGATTGTTCGGTTAAACCGTATAACCGACAACCGATTATCACCCCTATTCACTATTAGTCACCCATCGTTAGTCTCCGTCAGACTCCGTTAACACCATCAGTTTTTTTATGACATGGCAAACAGAATTGCTGATTGGACCGCTAACTCAATGACATGTCAATTAAAAAAAATAAAGAAAAAATAAATTAAGTTATCCGGCATCTCACCATCGTTCCCTGGACCCAAATCGCACTATGCCACTCGGGGAAGAAAATCCTCCCGCCGCACGCCCAACCGCGGCATCGTCGATCCGAGTCGTCCCCAGTTACTCGTTGTCGCCGCCACTTCTGAAGGCAGTGAATCTGCGGTGTCCTCGGTGTCCATGTCTCCAGTCCGCCGCCTTCACCATCAATCAGGCACCGAGGTCGTTTCCGCCATCAGTGCCATCGATCTCCTCGTCCCGTCAGCGAGGTACCTGTTACTACGGTCCTCGATCAAATTTCCGCTGCGCCACCGTTGTCTTCTCCCGCCGCCGCTCGTTGTCGTTTCCTCTCAGTACTCTTACCTCTTCTCCGTCAAAACATGGATTCTCAGATCTACACTCCAGAATCCAGACACATGATAAGATAATCCAACTCAACCTTCGATTCCTCTTCTTGGCTCATCTCAAAGCTTGTCGTTTCTTGAGTGGTGTCGGCAGCCGGCAAATTACTGGAATTGACGAATTTCCTCGATTGGAAGCTGAAGAAACATTGTGGAGCTCGTACAATCTGGCTTTCCATTCGCCGATCGTTTCCCTCTTCTTCTGGCTTCGCCCGACCAATTCGCTCTTCTCCGCCTCTGTCAAACTCGGCTAACGAGTTGTTGTGCAAAGTCGTCGCGCTTCCAGATCTTGTAAGTGCAGAAGGCACAGTGCGGTCGAGGAAAGGAGGACGGATCTCGAAGTGGAAAGGAGTTCGCCTGGGATCCATCGGCACCATTTCCCCCAGTTGGAGCAGTGGTGGAGATGGAGCATGATTTGTTGTTCTGTGTGAAGATGGTGAAAGGAAAGAAGACGAGTGGGGGAAAGGTGCTCCTCTTATTTTTGTCTTCTTTTTATTTTTTTAATTGACATGTCATTGAGTTAACAGCCTACTCAGCAGCCTACTCAGCAGTTTCATTTGTCACATCATCAAAAAACTTAACGGAATTAACGGCGTCTGACGGAGATCAAAGGCGAGTGACTAACAGTGAAACGTTTCGTAAAGTTAGTGGTTAATAAGAAAGAAAAGTAATTTGGGTGGCAAACATGAAAGATTTATTTAATTTGAGTGACTAAACATGTAATTTAGCCAAAATAAAAATAAACAAAAGTTGAATGCTCTACTTAATAAAAAATTGTAAATAAAAGTATTAACTAATGAAATTATTATATATAAACCTAAATACAATTTACTGTTCACTAACCATATAGTTAATTTGCACTTAGCTTCATTTTTTCTCTTGACACATGTACACATAGGGGTGGTAAACGGTAATCCGGTAAACGGTTTACCGTTTTACCGAACCGGTAACCGGCGGTAAACGGTAAACCGTTTACCGGCGGTATCGGTAGCCGAGCGGGAAGTTGGGGGAGTCGTTTTACCGAAAACGGTATCGGTAAATACCGACGGTAAATCGGTATTACCGATACCGAATCCCCCCTCCCTACTCCCTAGTGTTGCGCTGCGTTTTGTTGCTTTATTATGAAAAATATTACATCATTATTCACAAATATAAAATAGTACATCATGAATGTAAGTATAGGCCTCAAAAATATTGTAAATAAGAGTTAATAATAAATTATTAATTACAAAAATGATGAAAAAAACTCAAAAAAATCGAAATATTACAACATCACCCCACTTCCAGAGATTCGGTTCGGTAAATATTCGGTAAACCGACCGAAAAAATCGCCCGAAATCGCCTTTCACGGTATTTCGGTAATACCGGTTTGTTACCGTTTACCGGTAATTCGGTAATCGGTAAACCGGTTACAAACCGGTATCGGTAATCGGTAACCAGTTTGGCCAACTTCGGTATACCGAAACCGGTAAATTCGGTAAACGGTAAATTGTTTACCGACCGAATCCCACCCCTATCAGTACACACGAAACAAGGTAGAGAGGGAAAAGAAACAAGTCTTGCCTCATAAGTTGAAAATGGACAAAAAAAACAAGGGATGAGGAAAAACAAAATAGGGCATTACGTAAGAGTATAAGGAGGAGAATATGGAGATTCTTTATTAGTACTCATAAGTAGTCGTAAATGACCAAAGAAGTAGGGAGAAAGAAAAATAAAAGAACCACCATATTAAAAGAAGATTGCGGCAATGATTTTCTTAATTAGATTTGAATTTGATCATTAAAATTGTAAACCAATTACAAAATCGAATGGGTTTTTAGATTGGATCAGTCATATATACACTAATCGACTGTTTGTAATGTCCAACACAAGAATCGCTTTGATCTAAGTGGTTCACCGGTTTAATGTTGTTCCAAAAAAAACGTAACAACTAAAAAAAATATAATGGGAGGCCGAACATGAAAAACTTACGGATTAATAAAATATGTTTTCTACTTCCTCTTCGTCTCATTTTTCAATTGCCCTCTATCTCGCTTTCTTCATTTCAATCTTTGGCGTATTCATCCGACCCTAATTAGTATAATATTGATATGTATTATAATTAACTAGTATGGACGATTTCATAAAACCCTTACCAACATGTCTATAATAATTAATTGTTGAACCATGAACCACTAAATTTTCTATCCAAATGTCCATTTCAATTAAAATAACATAGATTTTTCTCCTACTTATTAGTAGGTATTGTTTCCGTCCTACTAGTATTTGAACGCATGGAATGTTAAGATAAATCTACTTTGTATTCTCTTTGTTTCTCTCTCTAGACTTTTTCTTTCTCATCAAGCTTAAAATTTTCTTTAGTTATACAAGAAACTTACTGTATGTACATATATATATCAAATAAAAATTATCAATAAACAATCACTCATTTTTCTACCAAAAATACTAATGGTCATTTTCACAAAATTTGTCATAGTAAATACATCAATATAAAAAGAATCAATTTCAAGAGGCAACCACAACAACGCAATGGTTGATTAGCCTGCGGCAAAGCGCAATCCCATCTTAGTAAAAATATAAACGATGTGTAATAATACATTTTTTAAATCAAATATAACAAATCATAATTGTATTCTATAAGATTTTGAGGAATACAGTCGGAAATTAAATTCTTTTAAAACTGAATTATACACACAAATAGGTAAACAACGAGAGTAGTGCCACGTCAACCCGAGCAAGCACAAAACAACGGCTTGTTTCCGGACCGGCGGATAGGTACGGTCCGTCCTTTCACGTTTTCATCCGGACAAACCGGGCCCTCTCCCACGCCGTACGGTCTGCCACCTCCCCCGGAAGTGATCTGACGGCTCACGTTATTTTCAATCCTTTTCCCGGGGAATCTTTCCCCTTCGCGTTACCGGGCTTCATCACGCCGTTACCTTCCCGCCACGTGGTCCTTCGCAGGTCCCACTTGGCAATCCCAGGGCTCCCGTCCCTTCCCTCCCCTCCCCTCCCCTCGTCCGTTTGGTCGCCGCCGCATCTGATTACTTCCCCGCTTCCTTCTGTATTAAAACAAGATTCCCCTCCCACCTGATAACTATTATCTCTCTGCTACTTATCACGGGAATGGATCAAGTCAGTAACCTTATGGTGAGTAACCATGAGTAACCCGTCCACATCAGCATGACATCAGCATCCTCTCTCTCATGGAAAGCCTTTGATTTTTCCCTCTTTAATCTTTGACGGACGATTTCTCGCTCATTTTAAGTCGAAATTTAATTTTTGTTGCACAGTTAGATCAGATTAATTGTGCTCTTCAAAATGATATCCACATTAATATATTTTTCGAACAAAAAAAATTGAGCCATTTTTTACCAGCCTATACCATATGGTATTGACTGGTATTGAAATAAAAGCATATCTATGTTTTGAAAAACGTACGATGGTGGTATGAACAAACCAATACTGTAGAATGGTTGAATACATGATAGTAGAAGTATATTAATTATAATTTACGACTTTTAACATTGTATACCACACAATACCACCCCATACCAGGGTGGTATTGTATGGTATTGTGTGGTATTTTTTGGTCCTGTAATTTGTTCACCCAGAAATTTGTAGATCCAATAGATCATCATGAACTCGTCCCTTCTGTGCAAACGTTTTCAAAAACGAATTAAAAACGAAGAAGATACCATACAATACCACCCCGTACCAGGGTGGTATTGTATGGTATTGTGTGGTATTTTTTTTGTCCTGTAATTTGTTCACCCAGAAATTTGTAGATCCAGTAGATCATGATGAACTCATCCCTGCTGTGCAAACGTTTTCAAAAACGAATTAAAAACAAAGAAGATACCATATGGTATGCAGTTGGTACCGAGAGGCCAGAATTTTTTTTTCCTAAAAAAAATATTGAAAATTGATCTCATTTTATAGAGCACGGTGAACTCGTTCCATCTGTGCAAAAAAAATTAAAATCCGAGTTAAAACGAAAAATATATGAGTCAATTAAGAAAGCTAGTGAAAATAAAAATAGTCTTTAGTTCTCCATCCTTAGATCTGGATTTTCTAAATGAATGGTCCAGATTTGGTTATTGATGGGTGGTTATGCACCCCTATCTTAAGCCACTTATCACTGCTCTGCATTTCCTTTCCAGATCCAAAATCTCCCTCATTCCGCTCTCCCCTGCCGCCGTTGCTGCTTCCATTCTCCGGTGAGCCGGTCTCCGCCGCCGCCGAAATGAGTCGGATCCGTAAGATCTGTCTCGTCCTCTCCCGCATCCTCTCCAAACCCTCCCGCCACCTCCTCCTCCACCTCCGCCTCCTCTTCCTCTTCGTCCCCACCTAAATTCTCCATCACTCTCCCTCTCTACCTCATCCCCCCACCCCCTCTTCGCCGGCGATCAATTACATCGCCAGAGTTCACAAAACCTCTCATTGCTTATCTCAAATTGCAATTTCTCCGGTCCAATTCGAATAAGGTACAAATCGGCATTTCCTCCAATGTCGATTCTGGCAGTATTGACGGAGGACCTGCTAGTTAGGGTGAACTCCAGAATCGAAGACGGCGCCGACCGGAGATCGTGGCGACTGGTGTGCAAGGAGTTCCTCCGGGTCGATTCCCTGACCCGAAAATCTCTCCGGGTCCTGCGGTCCGAGTTCATCTTCTCTCTACTCCGGCGGTTCCCAAACGTCGACGCCCTGGATCTCTCCGCCTGCCCGCGGGTCGACGACGGGATGCTGACACTGCTGCTGGCTCGCGGCGCCGCTTCGACGACGGCGTCGCTTCGTTGGAACTTGAGGTCCCTGAATCTGAGCAGGGCGACGAATGGGATGTCGTTTAAGGGCCTGGCGCTGATTGCTTCGGCGTGTTCGCAGCTGGAGAAACTCGACGTTTCGTACAATTGCCGGCTTGGGGATCGAGAGGCGGCGGCCATTTCAGGGATTGAAGGGCTGAAGGAGCTGAGGTTGGATAAGTGTTTGGAAGTGACCGATGTTGGGCTGGTGAAGATTGCTGTCGGTTGCCAGAAACTGGAGAAGCTCAGCTTGAAATGGTGCATGGAGATATCTGATCTGGGTGTTAATTTGCTCAGCGTCAAGTGTTGGAGTTTGAAGTTTCTTGACATATCTTATCTCAAGGTTTGGAAGCAGTGAATTTAATTTGATATTCTGTGTCCATTCCTGTCTTAATGTGAGCTGCTTGCTAGTTTTGAGCTTACAGAGAACCTTTAAATTATGGCTATTGGTATAGACATCGAAGTCAGTTTTGATAATGTGCTGCACTAGTAGTAATCAACGGTTGGTACTTGGGATGGATTGGTTGTTAGGTGACGAATGAATCACTCTGTTCGATTGCTTCTCTGCCGAAATTGGAAGGTTTGACAATGGTGGGTTGTCCTCTGGTCAATGATTCTGGGCTGGAATTCCTTTCTAGAGGCCATTCATTGAAGGTATGTTATCAAATGAAATGAGGTAACATTGTGATCATTTGATGCAAGTAGGATGTGTTTTTTGAGTGTGTTTCCCACGTGGTGTAGGAAATTGATATATCAAGGTGTGAAGGTGTTAGTTCGTCTGGATTGGTCTCCTTAATTCGTGCACATTGTAACCTTATGCGGATCATCGCTGGTTATCTTCCTGTAAGCGTGTAATAGTCTGTTGCTGCTTATCTTCTTACTTTGTTTAGCATTGACAAGTATATTAATCGATCTGCTGTTTCAAGGAACTTTCTGCAGCTCTTCTGGACAGTCTAAAACTCTTGAAGAATCTAACCACACTCATAATCAATGGGACTCAAGTCTCCGAAACTGTTCTCCAGACAATCAGCTCCAACTGCAAGTCATTAATCGAGATAGGGTTGAGCAAATGTATAGGAGTGACGAATGTGGGAATTCTGCAGCTCGTGTCCAGCCATCAGAAGTTGAAAGTTCTTGATCTGACGTGCTGTGGCTCAGTTACTGATGCTGCAGTTTGTGCGGTGGCTGACTCTTGCAGTAGCCTCGTACGCCTGAAGTTGGAAGCTTGTTATATGGTCACTGAAAAGGGTCTTGAACGACTTGCATCATCGTGTTTGTTGCTCGAGGAGGTTGATCTCACTGATTGCAGTGGCATAAATGACTCAGGTAGACTTCATTAAAAACAGTCACTAAAGTCTGGGGTCACCAACAAAGCAATCAATGAACTTTGATTTAGCGAGCTTGTCACTTAAATTTGGCATAAACAACATGATACTCGTTTTGTCCATCTCCGCCAAGTTGCTGTCCTGGTTTGTCTATATTCGCTTGTGAACTGACCAAAGTTAATAATAAAATAGGTAATGTAGATCCTATTATTAGCTATTAGGTTTGATAGCGGAAATGACTGGAGAGGTGATGGAGATGAACGGAAATCTAATCTATATTTATATTAGTTTAACAACCTAACTTCGTTGACACTTTTGTCCAAAGTCAAAGTTCGATGGCAGAGTATTTTGCTATATGAAGCTGATTGCAACAACTGTTCTTTCTCATCGGCAGGGCTTGAATGCCTCTCTAGATGCTCAAGGCTTGTCAGCTTAAAGTTGGGGCTCTGTTTTACCATATCAGACAAGGGGCTTTCTTATATCGCCGCCAACTGTTCGGAGCTTTGTGAACTAGATCTATACCGGTAATTTGAACGAAAGAAACCTAGTATATATTGAATGAAAACATTACACCACAGTGGCTACAGAGAGTAAATGAAATTTGTGTTGTTGTTATTGCAGCTGCACTGGCATTGGAGATGAAACTCTAGCTGCATTGTCAAACGGCTGCAAGAAACTGAAGAAGCTGAACATCTCATACTGCATAGAGATCACTGATAGAGGGATGAAGTCTCTTGGCTCTTTGGGTGAACTGGTCGATCTTGAGATGCGAGGTCTCCACAATGTCACGGGCGTTGGGTTAGCAGCCTTTGCAGCCATGTCCAAGCGACTGGCTGATCTTGACTTGAAGCACTGTGAGAATATCGATGATTCGGGTTTCTGGGCTCTGGCATGTTACTCTCACAACTTGCGCCAGGTGAGAAATGAAACCATATGTGTACAAAATTAAGGATGTGTAGGGATTCAATTTCATACGGAGTCCAATTAGATATAACGGTGCGGTGCGGTTTTGTAAAGAAGCATCTCCTGAAATTTGTGCATCAATCAATGGCAGATAAACTTGAGCAACTGCAACATCTCGGATGTAACATTGTGCATGGTGATGGGGAACTTGACTCGGCTGCAAGAGGCGAAGCTGGTGCACCTAGCGAACATTACCGTGGAAGGGTTCGAGCTTGCGTTGAGGGCTTGTTGTGTTCGAATCAAGAAGGTGAAGATGGTCTCTGAACTCAGGCTCTTGCTTTCGTCGGAGATACTCGAGATATTGCATGCTAAGGGTTGCATAATCAGGTGGGATTAGCTATAAAAAAACCCCTTTCAGTTCCAGTTCCAGTTCCAGCTTTAGTCTTTTTTCCCCCTTCTTTTCTCTGTTGTACAAGTTGATGGTGTTTTGTGTTGTTGAGGCTTATCTGCGGCTGTATTATTAAGTAATAAGAGGGAACTTTTGAGAGAAGAACCAGGTGTGTTTCATTGTGCTGTCCTTGGTTGGAGGGTTAGGGTGCCCTTGGGATAATAGGTGCTAGCAGGGAGTTATCTTTTTGTTGCACCTCATCCATCTTTGATTCTTGTAATGTAATAATGCCTAGTCACTTGCTAATTCTGGATACTGAGTCGTGCTTTCTGTAATCAACTACGTACTAATTCTGGACCCTGTGGTTCAAGTTTGTATTGTACTGTGAAGGAGCTGATACGAATCTGTAGAAAGCTTGATGAATGCTTGTAAGGCGCTATAACTGGAACAAGCAAGAATAGGAGGCTAAAGTAGAGTTGAGAAAGAAAGCATAACGTGGGACTCTGGAAAGAAGGACGAAAAGAAAGGTATTCTAATGGCCGAAAGGGAAAGCCTATTGCACACTGTTTAGCCTCTTTCCTTCCTCACTAAACAATTCCTTCCCCATTTATCATGCCCGCCTATAAGTGTTTCTCCATTCATGAAAAGATCACATAAACAAATAATCTCTCCATTCCATAGTGTGTTGATCCTTACTTCTTTCCCCTTCTCTCTCATGAAAAAGATGGCAGCCTTTGCCATTTTCCTATTCATCCTAACCCTAGCACCTTCCCTTCAAGCCGCTTCATCCGAGAACGATGCATCGATCCCGGTCGCTAGGCCAACATCAGTCATCCACAACTTCTCGGCGGAAGCATGGATGGAGAAGGCATGTGCCGGAGTCATGAATCGAGAAACTTGCGTCGCAAGTTTGCAGGAACATCACGATGGAGGATCCAGGCATACCCCTGCCTCGATCCTGACTGCAGCAATGCGGTCCACACTGAAGGAGGCGAGATCGGCCATTGACACGATGACCAAGTTCACTGCCTTGTCGTTCAGCTACAGGGAGCAGGTGGCCGTCGAGGACTGCAAGGAGCTCCTCGACTTTTCTGTCTCCGAGCTGGCTTGGTCCCTGGCAGAGATGAACATGGTTCGTGCTCGTGCTGCTGGTGTTGCCCAACAACAACAGCAGCTGCAGGGCGAGCCCATCCTTGAGAGCTCAGAAGGAAACCTCAAGGCATGGCTCAGCGCTGCACTGAGTAATCAGGACACGTGCCTCGAAGGGTTCGAAGGCACGGACAGGCACGTAGAGAAGTTCATCAGGGGGAGCCTGAAGCAGGTCACCCAGCTCATCGGCAACGTCCTGGCTCTGTACACCGAGCTTCACACCATGCCCTTTCGAGGCACACCATCGACGAGAGACCATCGTCCAGTGCCCGTAATGACCCACTCGAGCCCCGAGTTCCCCGACTGGATGGTACAGAGCGACCGGAAGGCGGTCAGGAGCAATCCTCGTGATATGCGGATTGATGCGGTCGTGGCACTAGATGGGAGCGGCCATTTCAGGACAATTGGAGACGCCGTGGACCGAGCTCCGCCGCATAGCATCCGGAGGTACGTGATTTTCATCAAGAAGGGAATTTACCGTGAGAACATTGACTTGAAGAAGAAGAAAACAAACATCATGCTTGTTGGAGAAGGCATCGGACAGACCATTGTGACGGGGAACCGTAACTTCATGCAAGGTTGGACAACTTTCAGAACTGCCACATTTGGTAAGTTTCCCCAAATTTTTTAGCCCCCCTCAAGTTTCTTTCTCACCACTTTTTAGTCACTAAAAATTTTGGGATTTGCAAAATAAGCCCCCACCAAGATTCAAGTTTGTGCAACTTAGCCACATCATGCTAACCATGTTACATGACCATATCCATGTGTAGCCGTTTCCGGGAAGGGGTTCATAGCAAGAGACATAACATTCCGCAACACGGCTGGGCCAGCGAACCACCAAGCAGTCGCCCTGAGAGTTGACTCGGACCAATCTGCATTCTACAGATGCAGCATGGAAGGCTATCAGGACACCCTGTACGCCCATTCCCTGCGCCAGTTCTACCGCGAGTGCGAAATCTACGGCACAATAGACTACATTTTTGGCAACGGTGCGGCCGTGTTCCAGAACTGCAAGATACACACCCGTGTCCCTCTCCCCATGCAGAAGGTCACCATCACGGCCCAGGGCAGGAAGAGCCCGCACCAGAGCACGGGGTTCTCGATCCAGGACAGCTTCGTCTACGCGACGCAGCCCACGTTCCTGGGCCGGCCCTGGAAGGAGTACTCGAGGACGGTGTTCATGAACACCTACATGAGCGGCTCGGTCCAGCCCAGAGGGTGGCTCGAGTGGTTCGGCAACTTTGGGCTTGGCACGTTGTGGTACGGTGAGTACAAGAACTACGGGCCGGGGGCTTCGCTATCGGGCCGGGTCAAGTGGCCCGGATACCACATTATAAAGGATGCCGCCACGGCCAGGTTCTTCACGGTGGGGCAGTTCATCGACGGCGGGTCCTGGCTCCCGGCCACGGGGGTGAAGTTCACGACGGGTCTCAGCAACTAATTGGGTTGAAGCCTTGGACTTCGGTGATTTAATATAATTGTTTATTGGGCTTGGCCCATTTGTGATGGGCTGATGTAGAGACGCCACCGACGGGTATATTGTTGATGGGCCGGTGACGGTGGTGAGGTGATCGGTTGACATTTGACCGAGTCAGTCACTCGGTTTCATTTTATTTGTAGTAGGTAAATTGTATTATATGATGATTTTTTTAATGTAATTAAACAGAAGAAATTGTAAAAGCCAAAAGCATTTATTTGCATGCATATAAAGTCAAGGTGGGTATTAGTTATTGCCCACATGCGACGGCGCCTCACTTTCCATAACATTCCAAATGAGCTTTGCTGGCAAAAATGGCGACTTCCACCACCAAATGAAATAAAGATAATCAATGGAAGAGCCGAGTTAGACAGTTAAATTAATCAATTAATAGATTACAGAACTTCATGGTGGCTTAGAAACATCGATCACAGTCAATATACATACATTATGGATAAGAGAAGTTACGTCGAAGACAGAAGGGGGTTATAGATATCTCAACTTTGAAATATAGATAAAACTACTTCGTAATGAATTTGAAAAATAAAGTACTCGATAAGGTTTTAGTTCCCTCCATAATTATATCGGTTCAATTTAGTTTTTCTATTCAGATTTATAACTCCACCCGTGAATAAGATGAGTAATAAAGTCAATTTTGGACATGATTTGGCCTCAAAAGTCTTTATGTTGCGTGAATATTATCTGGAGCATGAATAAATGGGAGGGGTGGGCAATGGGCGGGTTGGGTGAGTTTGGTCTCAAATTGACTCACTAACTTACTAGTGAGTTGGTATAATTGTGACCCGCTATCCACCAACATTCTTCTGCGGGTTGGGTTGGGTCGTGGGTTAACCCGCAAAAACAATTCTCTAACTAGCCATTAAGAAAGTTTACTAATATTTATGATAAGTTCCTTATAAATACGTAAGATTGTATCAATTTAGACACTTCTCACTTTGTCTCGTGTGAATCCATGTAGTATTTGCATCAAAATTCTCAATACTCTATCAACCAATTGTGTATGTGTAGAGAAATTGAGAAAACCGATGCATTTAGAGACTTTGATAAAATTAATTGATTATAATTTGCATTTAATATCTAATGGATATTACACAATACAATAACCAATAATAGTAGTCCAAAAACATTATTTATTCTCTGTTTTTAAGAAGTAGATGGTCATTGTTTAGGGTGGTTAGAAAATACGATGAATATTAGATAGCATAAGAAACAACATTTTGCCAAGTGAAGATATAGTGCGGGTCATTCACGTGCCCCGCAATCCAGTGATCCACCCACCACCCACCCACATAAGTGCTGGTAGAAACTTTATCAATCCGCTATCCACCCACTACTTGCGATTCGGATTATTTGAAGATGGATTGATATCAATCCGCGGATTAACCACCCACGTTTTTGTCCTTCCCTCCTTGTATGTTTCTGTCTTAAACTATCTCGATTCTATTTAAAAAATTGGTTAACAATCATCATATCATGCATAAATCATAAATCATAATTAAGGTTTATTAGTTAATTAGTTTTAGTTAATTGATTAGCTAGATCATATGCATGATACGACTTTCGTTCATCATTGATTACCTATTCATTTTTCCTTTCAAGTACGTTCTGTCTTCACATTGAGTTTGAAGATCCCTTAATTTGACTTTTTTAAAAAAAAATTTACACGTTCTCTATAAATTTATTTATCCACCGCGAGCCAACCAATAGGTTTTGCCAGCAGCATGCATGGCTGTGGAATTTTGACTCTGGAACTGGATAATTTAAGGGTTTAAGCGCAAGATTCTTATTAGGGTTGTACTTAGGGTATTTCATATGTAATTCATGATCTAATTGTGGTTAAATTATTTTATATCGATAAAATTCTATAACGAATTGAAGTTCGATAGACAAATTTTCCGATCATACTGTCGATGCGGTACGGTTTAGCAAACAATTATTTAAACGTTGGAGAGCACCCTCGAGGTTCCGAGCAACTATGAGCCTAAAAGTATAGCTAGCTAGCTAGGGTTTTGTTGCTAATAGCTTCTGTTCCTTGATTTCCACGAAAGTATCTCACTTGGAGATGTCATCATAATTCATCATTAAGCAAATGCATATATGAACTAAATTTTGTGACTGCGAACAAGAGAGACAATGAAAAGGAGGGGGAAACAAAGAGAAAAAATGGCATTGTCCGACAAACCTCAATCTTACCACAACTCAAACAACCGGCTACAGACAATAATTTAGGTAATAGGTACACATAACCGATAATTGCAAATCTGATTTTCCTCTAAACGACAAAAATAGAAAGAATAAAGAATAAAAAACGAGAGTGAATGAACTCAACCCTAAATCTTCACCACCTCAACCTCCCTCGTGATTCATTCCATGCGCGATATACCTTTACCGAAAACCTTTCACAAAATACATCAACTCATACTACAAAGCAGTAGCAGAGTTCAATCGCTCACATAAACTTATCAAGTATTGGTACATTGAGATATTTCGCCTTCTTTCAGTTTCAGGCATACTCCACCTCATAAAACAAACAACCTTAGTGACGCTCTGGTGCTGTCACTCTCTCGACAACACAACATTGGTTGAAGTATTCCCCTACAGAAACAAAAACAACAAAGCCCCACAAAGCGCGGTAGTGAGCAACTTTTTCTTTTCTCGTTTTTACCGATCACAACAAGGACAGGAGGGCATTAATATTAATAAAAGAAAGACAAAGAGGACAAAAGCACAGACTGCACTGCACACTCTGCTTGCTTCAGCTCTGGCGCTGCTCTCGATTCCTTTGACCTTGTCTTGCCTCCTTCCTTTTTCAATAACATTGGCTCACTAACCAAAACAATAATCAACCCTTCCATTGGATGATAAGTTGATTCAAATCGCATATTGTGATCCAGTCGCGTATTGACATCGTTGTAACTAAAGATGCAGTAGCAGTGTAGACACCTCCATCAGCAAGGTAACAAATTTGCTTATGATCTTACTTGACTCTATCAAGGATTCCAAACCAATGAAGACTTGAGAAAGAAAGAAAAACAAAGAAGGAATCATGGCTAAATGCTGGATCCCATTCCATACCCATGGTAGGCCTCAAAAATCTACAGCACCTTCCATATGCAGAAACATGCCTACCTGACAATAATAACCCACTAGCTCCTCCTCCAACAACTTGCCCCTTTCAATATACCTATCCAGTATCCATCCATCCACCTCTCTCATTAAATAGAATCCAACCAAATTAAGAACAAAACCCTCTTACGCGTTTATTTCCAAATTTCTTCTCTCCAGTTCACTCACATGTTAGAGATCCACCTTCCATTTTTTCCTTCTATAAACAATTCCACCTATAACTCAGTCAAACATGCTTCAAACGACTAGTATATAGAGGCATAGAGCTACTACATATTAGGGAAGCAAATCGAACATACCTCTTACAAACTGAGCTCTGAACTCCTCTCACATTAACAATGGCTACTTCCAAGCTTTCCCCTTTCTTCTTCCCCACCATTCTTCTCCTCCTCGCCTTCTCCCTCCCCATTTCATCTCCTCAATCAACTAACTCCACCGCTGCCGCCCCGACCAACTTCTGCAGCACAACTCCATACCCATCATTCTGCAGATCGACTCTGCCGTACAACAAAACCAGCACCATTCATGACTACACTAGAAAATCAGTCAAACAATCTCTCTCCCAGGGCAGGCAATTCCTTCGGCTGATCAACTACCTTATCAGAACAGCTTCCAGGTCCAAACCCTTCCAAACTCTCATTCCTCCGCTGCAGGACTGCAAGTTCCTGGCCCAGATGAATGTGGACTCGCTGTCGGACACCATGTCCACAATCAACTCAAGGAACAACCTTTCCAGCTTCACAGCCAGCGACTTGCAGACCCTTCTGAGTGCCACGTTGACCAACCTCGACACTTGCCTCGACGGGATTCGTGCCGCAGATTCCAGCTCCACTGTGGTCAGCGGCCTTGTAGCTCCTTTGCTCAATGGCACGAAGTATTGCAGTGTGTCTCTGGCACTTTTCGCCAAAGGTTGGGTTCCTCCTCCCAGAAAGAGGAACAAGGGCAGAGGCCTTATGGAGAGCCGTCACATTTTCTCCCATCTCGATCTCACCCATGGTTTGCCGTTGATAATGTCGAGCCAGGATCGTCGCGTGTTCGAGTCCTTCGATGGTGGTAGGAGGAAGCTTCTCCAAGCTCCCATTGGTGGGATTTCCGTGAGCCAGATGGTGGTTGTGGACAAGAAGGGAGGTGGGAACTTTACAAACATTAATGATGCCATTGCTGCAGCTCCTAATGCAACAAATGGGGTCGTACCTGGTAACAGCTACTTTGTCATTTATGTGACAAAGGGTTTGTATGAAGAATACATTTCCATACAAAAGAACAAGCAGAACTTGATGATGGTCGGAGATGGAATTGGCCGGACAACCATTACTGGGAACCACAGTGTCATCGATGGCTGGACCACATTCAATTCCTCCACATTCGGTACGTTAGCACCATTACCATTAGCAAACATAAACTTTCTTTTCCTGTCTCGTTGAGGCATTTCGTCGAACAGTTGATACGCACCTTTAAACTGACGATTCTCTTCCTTTCTTTCTCGCAGCCGTCGTCGCCCCAGGATTCGTCGCCGTGGGGATAACGTTCCGGAACACGGCGGGGCCGTCCAAGATGCAAGCCGTCGCACTTCGAAACGGCGCCGACATGTCAGCATTCTTCAACTGCAGCTTCGAAGGCTATCAGGACACACTCTACGTCCACTCCTTGCGCCAATTCTACCGCGACTGCACGATCTACGGCACCGTCGACTACATCTTCGGCAACGCCGCCGTCGTGTTGCAGAACTGCCGGATCATGTCCAGGCTCCCCCTGCCCAACCAATTCAACACCATAACCGCGCAGGGCCGGACCGACCCGAATCAGAACACCGGGATCTCGATCCAGAATTGCAGCATCAAGGAAGCCAAGGACTTGGCTTTGAGCAATGGAACCACCAGGTCTTATCTGGGTCGGCCCTGGAAGGCCTATTCGAGGACGGTGGTGATGCAGTCGTCGATCTCCAGTTTCTTAAATCCGGCGGGTTGGGCGCCGTGGGCCGGCAACGCTTCGCTCGATACGCTTTATTATGCGGAGTTCAATAACTCCGGCATCGGAGCGCTGACCAGCGGGAGGGTGAACTGGCCGGGTTTTCATCTGATTAACGAGACCGATGCCGGGAATTTCACGGTGGCGAACTTTACACAGGGGGACGTTTGGTTGCCGGCGACCGGCGTTCCTTTTGCTACTGGGTTGTTGGTGCAATAATGTCTGAGATTTCTAATTTCTAATTCTTTTTATTCCATTTTCCGGCGAAGTCATTGGAATTAGATAGAGATGAAGTAGTTTGTCAAATTGAAATGTTCATATCGTTCTCGTGAAGTCATGGAGGCAAAGTCAGTTTTTCGGAATTTGGATTCTTTTTGGCGGGTGGGTTTAGCGACGTGGGCGCCATTGTCTATTTGTTAAGGGGAAATAAATGCTGTTTTAGAGTTGGCCATTATGTATTTCTAATTCTATTCTGGAGAAGGAATCAATTCCTAAGAACATAAATATGAATTTCATATGAAGTAGAATTATTTGAAATGCATAATTTCTCTAAACAATACATTCCAGACGACACCTAAGAATAAGATGTGTAGGAAGATTTGGGAAATCAGAGACAGTCGACAAAATAGCTCGTTGGGAATAAATCATCATCACTAGAATCTTGGAGATCAAGTCGAAATCAATCAACTGATTGATTGCATAATCACAGCTCAAGAATCACTCCTTCAATCAAGCATTGCAAATAAGGAAGGATGAGCCATTTCCAACTCACACAAATCTCCACCTCCTCATCTATAAAAGGGACTGGAACGTATTGCCCCAATTCACTTTTGTGAGAGAACGGAAAAGGGTTTCTAAACAAAAGGGTTTAGCAAAGGGGAAGAGGTTTTTTGCTAGTGGCTGATACAAATTCCGGAGTTTGGAATTTGGGTTGTTTATTTGTCATTCTACTTATTTCTCGAATTTCTTTCTTTGAGTCTTTATTTCAATTTGCTTCTTTTGTATGTGTAAGTTAGATCGTAAAGAAAATAACAATAGAGTCATAGGTGTGGACGTAGCCCATTGCACCAGGGTGAACCACGTTAAAAATATCGTGTGTTCTTTAGATTTTCGCACTTTTCTTTTCGTACTTCATCTTCCATGTCAATTCTCTGTTTTCCAAGGATTTTGATCCAAGGAAGAAAACAGACCTAAAGTGTTCTCTATATTGATCTGCTCGGCTGGGCTTATCAATCCTCAAGCCTATCTCACAAGTTGGCTTTCTGCTGCTCATTGATTTCAAGTGGGCTTGAGGAGTTCCGGCCCAAACTGAAGGGGAGAATCAGATCGAAAAACACCAAAGGACTTCCCCTCCATTTTCAATCTTCTTCCTCTTCTTCTTCTTTCCTACTTTCCCAATTTTACAATCCCTAAAATCGGTCTCTTTGATTACAATTGGTATCAGAGCCAATCCCTTGATTGAGCTACATACTGCCAAGGGAATCGATCATGGGGTCCTCTGTCTTTGGTCATGCTTCATACAATCATCCGCCGTTATTCACAGGAACGAATTACACCTCCTGGAAACGCAGAATGGAAACATTCCTCTGGGGAGTCGATGAAGCGCTCTGGACCGTGGTAAGCGATGGTCCTCTTGCCATGGATCTTGCCCAGCGATCCACCTGGAATGATGCTCAGAAGAAAAGCGCCCAGCTCAACAAAAGGGCGATGCATATTCTTCACTCTGCCATGGCTGCGAGTGAGGCGGATAAGATCGAGCATTGCGACACGGCTCAGGAGATCTGGATTGCACTTGAGAAAACATACGAAGGAACCTCGAACATCAAGAAGACACGCATCGATCTCCTAATGCACGAATACGAGACATTCGCCATGAACCCAGGTGAGGATATTCAATCCATGTATTTTCGCTTTACTATCATTCTAAACAAATTAAAGGGTTTAGGAAAATCTTTCATAAGTAAGGATATAAATCGCAAGATTCTTCGTTCATTGCCTAAGGAATGGTTACCTAAAAGAACTGCAGTCGAGGAAGCGCAAAATCTAAATACTTTACCAGTTGATGAATTAGTCGGTTCATTATTAAGTCATGAGCATGTTGTTAAGCAAGTTCATGGTGAAGATAAGAGGCAGAAAAGTCTTGCTTATCAAACTAGAGTCTATCAGGATGACTCTGAAGATGATTCGCCTCTTGATATTGATAAGGAAATAGCCTTTCTCAGTAAGCGCCTTCAACGAATAATCAAACATAAGAATGAGCAAAAACGGTTGAATAACACCTCCGGAAAATTCATTAGTTATGATAAAACTAACTCTGGATTCAAGGATAGGCTGCCTTCTAGGCAGACCAGAAATGTGGATGCAGGTACTTCGGCAAGGAAACCACAAGGATGCTACAAGTGTGGCCAACCAGGTCATATCCGTGCACATTGTCCTCTCACCCTCAAAGCCAAAGAAAAAGCCATGATGGCCTCTTGGAGTGACTACGACTCTGAGTCAGATGATGATCAGGTAGACGAGGAAGCATTCATGGCCTTTGCCATGAATGTAGAAGGTAACTCTACTCACTCTTCTGCTGAACTTGCCTTCAAAACAACAACATTTACCTCAGAAATGAATGATGAGCCCCACTGGTATATGGATAGTGGGTGCTCACATCACATGACTGGCACAAAGCAGTTATTCACTTCTCTATCTCCTAAAAATGGTGGTAAGGTTATCTTTGGTGATGATAGTTCTGGAACCATCATTGGTCATGGTACTATTGGCCGAGAACCCTTTCCTGTCATTCATAAAGTTTTGCTGGTCGAGGGTCTAAAACATAACTTACTCTCAATAAGTCAGTTATGTAGTAGTGGATAGGGCTGGGAAAACGGTTGCGGTTTCACAGTTAAACCGATAACCGCACCAAAACCGCGCGGTTATTGGTTAACCGCAAACAGCATATTTTGCCTATTTTGCGATCGCGGTTGGAGATATGGGCTGTTTTGCGGTTTGCGGTTTAACCGCAACCGAAACCGCAAATCCATATAACCGCAAGGCTAACCGCGACTCAGACCCAGCCCATATTTGACCCCCAGCCCAGCCCAAAATTGACCCCCAGCCCAGCAGCCCAAACCCGACCCGGCCCCTCCCCCACTTCTCCCTGCCGTCGTTTTAATTTGACGAAACGAAAGTCTCTTCGTCCCTTCCCATCTTCCCGCGCTGTCGTCTGATTCTGAAAACCCTAAGCCAAGCCAGCAACTGAAAACCCTTCGAGCTTCGACCCTTCCCATCTTCCCGTTGCGGCGCTACGCCGCTGCCATCCGCCCGCCGCCCCCGGCTTCCTCAAGGTTGCGCCTCTGTTGATGGAAGTGAAAATAGACAAAACAGTAGTTGCTGTTTTTTTTTCATGTATTTTTTGATGTTAGTTCGCGGTTAATTCGCGGTTAGATTGCTTAACTGCGGTTTCGTATACTATTTCGGTTGTTGCGGTTTTCACCCACAGAAACCACGGTTCACCGCTAAGCGTGTTCTGCGGTTTTTGGTTAACCGATAACCGTGAGGGACGCGGTCGCGGTTGGCTAATATGAGTGTTTTGCGGTTGCAGTTAACCGCAACCGCACCATTTCCCACCCCTAGTAGTGAATATAAAGTAACTTTTGAAGCATCTCACTGTGTCGTTGAAAATTCACAAGATCACAAAACCTTGTTTGTTGGAAAACGTCAGGATAACATGTATGTTATTAACTTCCAGAAATTAGGATCATCCAGTAAAATATGTTTTGTGGCTGCATCTCAATTAGAACTTCTTTGGCATCGTAGGCTAGGACACGTTAGTCTTTCTATCTTGTCTCGCCTTGCTAAATCTGAATTAGTTCGTGGTATTCCTTTATTAAAAGACAAATCAGATTTTTTTTGCCACGTTTGTGTTCAAGGTAAACACACTAAACGATCCTTTAAACCAAAATCTGGAATTACTACCTCTACAGTTTTTGAACTGATCCATATGGATCTCTTTGGTCCTTGCAATGTTTCTAGTCTAGGAGGTAAGAATTATGCATTTGTGCTTGTTGATGACTTTTCTCGATATACTTGGGTGTATTTTCTTGGGCATAAGAGTGAAACCTTTTCAAAATTTCAAACTTTTGCTCTTACTTTCGATAAGAAAATTTCAACCAAAGTGACAATGGCGGAGAATTCATCTCTGATGAATTTGAAAGCTTATGTGATTCTTTAGGAATTCATCATACCTTCTCTGCTCCTCGTACACCTCAACAAAATGGGGTCGTGGAAAGAAAAAATCGTACTTTAATTGAATGTGCTAGGACCATGCTTCTTGAATATGGATTACCTAAATATTTTTGGGCAGAAGCAGTTAGCACAACGTGCTATATAGGAAATCGAGTTTTAATTCGTAAACACTTAAATAAGACACCTTATGAAATCTTTAAAGGCAAGAAACCAAGCATTTCTTACTTTCATCCCTTCGGTTGTCGCTGCTATTGTTTGAATACCAAGGACAACTTAGGAAATTTTGATGGTAAGTCTGATGAAGGAATTTTTCTTGGATACTCTATTAAAGGTCAAGCTTATAGGGTGTTTAATAAAAGGACTCAACGAGTTGAGGAAACTGTGCATGTAACTTTTGATGATACTAATATGGCCTTGCAGCCTAGCAACCCAGATATAGAAATATTTGACTTTGCAGAGATGACACATTCATCAAATGCATCGGCTGCGACTCAATCTACAGATGCAAACTCTTCAACTCCTGCAGCAAATGTCAATTCTGAGGTAGACACACATCACGAGATTCCTACACCACTTCCTACTGAATCTGAAGACCCTCTCGCAGTCAACTCGTATGACACTCCCAATCTGGATCCGGAAGAAACTCTGGCAGCTCCAGCACACATCAAGAAACGATATCCCCCAAGTCAGGTCATTGGCCAAATAACAGATGGAGTCAGAACTCGAGGTAAGTACACTCCTGGACAATATGTCTTTATTTCTCAGCATGAACCTAGAAATTATAAGGAAGCCCTGAAAGATGATGAATGGTCTTATGCTATGATTGAAGAATTGACTCAATTTGAACATCTTCATGTGTGGGATCTAGTTCCCTGTCCTGATACTGTGACTTCTTTAGGAACAAAATGGGGTTTTTGGAATAAAACTGATGAAGAAGGTATAATAATCCGTAATAAAGCTCGTTTAGTTGCTCAAGGATACTCACAAGAAGAAGGGATTGACTATGATGAGACATTTGCACCTGTTGCTCGTCTCGAATCAATCCGTCTTCTTTGTGCCTTTGCTAGTTATATGAACTTTAAATTATATCAGATGGACGTTAAGAGTGCCTTCTTAAATGGTATCATAGAAGAAGATGTCTATGTAACCCAGCCCCCTGGTTTTGAAAGTCATGAACACCCAAACTATGTTTTTAAACTAAACAAAGCTCTCTACGGCCTTAAGCAAGCTCCTCGTGCTTGTTATGAACGACTCACGTCGTTCTTACTAAGTCAAGGCTTTGAGCAAGGATCAG